TTTATTCCAGCAATTTTGAATATTTTAAACAAGCAACTACTTCTTTTTTATTGTAGAAATTTATCTTCACATATTTAATCTTGCTATTTGTATTTTATTTTTTTTTTTCAAATGATACTGTGGAAAACAATGTTAAAATCTAATATGAAAAGCTTTTTTTTTCTATATTTGTTTATGTAACTGGTTTATTGAAGTTCTTAATAAGAAAAAAGAAGAATTATTCAAGTCATGATATGAAGAAAATTTTATGCTAATGTTTTGTTGATAAACGTAAAGTTCTAAAATTTCAAGTGTGTAGTATCACTCATGTCGTCAAGTTTTCATCAAAATCGACGGTTCGAACTGCTCAAAAATGTCCATTTCAATATACTACACTTTTTCTTTCTGGTTAAGTCTTTTAAGAAACATTATATTTTCAGTTATAATATCTCTTAACTTCACAAAATATAACCAGCGAAAGTGACTTTTAGTATTTCATCATGCTGAGAACATTACACATGATATGTTTCTTGAGTGTCACAATGTTGACATCTTCTCTCTATATGTTTTCTTATCTTTCAAAACTTTTACTTATGTTTTTTCTTCTTTCTTTTACTCTACGTGTCATGACGAAACGGAGCGAAGAGAGTTTAACAAAGTTCTCAAACATATTCAAGAGAAACGAAAACTATTACCAACAAATCTGCGTACAAGAAAGAGATCATCTGATAGAAAATATGAAGGCACACGGCATGCTGTAAGTGCTCTGCTGATTATCAGTTTTCTCAATGGCAGATGTTTACATTAGTGCATTTTTGACGAAACTATAATGTTTCGTGAATGCTAACGTAGGTGAAGTTAGCAGCCGATTCGAGTAATTCCGACAGCGATTCGCCTAGAAACTTGGTCCAACGTTCCTATTCTATGTTCAAGTACAACTCTATGAGCTCTATCCAATGGTATCTCGATTCATCTTATTTCGAACATATATGTAGAACAGGAGAAGAACCTATGTAATTACTGTTAATGACATTTCGTATATATACATAGTATCTCAGTGGCTGGACAGTCTTCTTATTATGCTAAAAGCGAAACGATTGTGGAACTGGGCGATATTTTCATAATAGATACTATTCACATTATTTATTATAAGGGTTCTCCTCCTATTTATTTATAAAATATTGTTATTTCGAACAGTTAAAATGATTAAATACTGATAAAACAAATGTACATAACAGAGTAAAATATATAAAGCAGATAAAAGATTAAAAGACAATCAGATGATGAGTCATTTATAGTTGTCAAATCTGTTGTTTCTTTTTCTTTATATATACATATATATACTGATGCGGACAAGACGGTAGAGACTGGAATTCTTTTCTTCTGTATTTAGTTGTCCGTACCAGTTTACCGTCTTGTCCCCACTATGTTTGTAATTGTTGTGTTTGTTGTTCTTTAAGATGTTGTTTTGTTTAAAGCGTATTTTGTTCTTGATTTTTGCTTGGTGATTGAGTAGTATTCCGTTCCACATGCTGTTTAATTTATCGTGTTTGTTGATAGATTGGTTTATGAACGAGTATATGGTTTCTTTAATTTTTCTTTTTTTGTAGTTAATTTCACTGTCTATTGGAAATCCTTTCATAGGGTGAAACATACATTGCCATTTCTTTTCGTGGTGATGTCGTACGATTTCAGACTTATTTGATTCTTCATCTTTTTCGATTGCATTGTCGTGCTGTTTCATTCTGTTAAGTAAGCCAACTTTAGTCTCACCATTGTATATGGCTCCACATTGACAATCTATTTGATAGACGATAGACTGTGATTGTGGTTTCATATTAGTTGTTGTGATAGAACTTAATTTCTTGTTGTACGAGAAATAGAGTTTGACATTGAGTTTCTCTAACTTTCTTTTCAAGACTTTCATCCCATGTGTATATGAGAGTGTAAGATTTATTGTTTCATTTTTCTTATTCTTTTCTTGAGTTGTTTTTATCTTTTCATCATTGTTTTTATTTTGTAATGTTTTCTTAATAATTGTTGATATTATATGTGGTGGGTAATTGGACTTTAAAAACATATTTCTTAATTTTTAAAGATCTTCAAATTGTTGTTGATTGTTTGTAGTAATGGTAATTATTTTTTCTGTCATGATTTTGATGATATTATCTTTGATAGATTTGCTATGGCAGAAGTGGTAATCTAAAAATCGATCGCTGGCTGTTTCTTTGCGGAACCAGCGTGTGGATGTTCTGTAGTTGTTGGTATCTCTTGTTAATGTAGTATCTAGGTAATTTATTTGTTGGTTGTTTTCATGTTCATGGGTAAATTTTATAGCACTTCTTTGTGAATTTAGTTTATCGATGTATATTTTAAGTTGGTCTTCTGTCATTTTTGTAATAATAAACAGTTCGTCCACGTATCTCTAGAGCTTGTGTTTTACGTCATTCATTTGTTTGTTTATGTAGTTATGCATGAATAGATCTGATAGTAGTGACAATAATATTTTCCATTAAATGTTAAGTATCTATTATTTAGACATATTGAAAGAAGTTCTTCTAGATCTAATTTTGATAGATTGGAATTGCAAAAAGCTTCCAATTGGTCTATTCTATCTATAGTTATATCGATAGATGCTTGAATAGGTACATTGTTAAATAGATCTTGGACATCCAAACTTGCCATACTGTCATCTTCTTCTAATATTACTTGGTTGACTTTTGAGACGAAATCGTTTGTATTTTTCAAACTGTGGTCGATTGTTTCTCTCAGTTGTTTAATTAATGAGAATGTGAACTTGGGTGTGGGTATGATTATGAAAAGAGCACCACCCACACCCACATCCACACCCTCATTAATTTCAATCCATGTCTTATATATTTTGACGGTTTGCAATATATTGAAATTCTATCAATCCTGTTTGTATTTTTAATTATGACTTGTAGATTTTAACTAAGGTATATTTTTATGATCGGTAGTATAGAATAATCTAATTGTATTGGATGATTCATAAAGAATGGAATACTTTTATTTTCTTTTTCTGAAAACTACAATCACATTTCAAAGGTTCCATTTCTAGTTCTTTTCATATATAGAGAATGTTTTGCTCTTCAATATTATTGACTTTGGATTTATCATAAGTTTTTCTTGTAGATAAAATGCTAGAAAAACGTACCAATGCTCGATTGTCCAAATACGACAGTTTAAAAAAACAGATTGATAAATCATTTTCGAAATAACAAGTGTAGCCAACTTTGGAATATGCTATAAAATTCTTCATGGAATTCTCAATCAGTCGATATATGTGAAAAAGGTTTTGAAAAAAGTATTCGAGAAAAAAGTTTTTAAATAATAATTCGAAACCCTGAAAAGTTCTTTTTTTAGTAGATGTCTAGCAATGTTTATTCTTATTTTAGTCCAATCTAAATATTTTCTTTGATCAGTTTAAATTTTGCATCGTTTTTATTCGGACTAAATCTTACGAAGATGATAGATATGGAGAACATTAAAATCTCTATTTTTTGAGTCGAAAAACTTCCAAGTTAGAATAGAACTTCATGGCACAGAACCTTACATAAATCGATTAATGTTCAAACGAAATATTGAAGATCCTACTCGGATGACTAGGTATCTGTTAATCTTTTCAATTTTTCGACAATAATGAAGCCTATCTGGAAAATAAAGTCAGGAATTTTACAGGATGCAGAATGGTCTTTCTATTGAGCATGCAATAAATCACTTGAAGTGTGCTTTCAGTTTCCGAAAAAGAAAATAAAAGTGCCCCAACCTTTATCAATCACTCATTACATATTGAAATGACATTCGTTTTTCCTAAATACAATTCAGAACACTGAAGTGAGGATCAATGATTCCAAAATAATGCCTTTTCATTTGTAGCTTATTGTCAAATATTTTCTCGAAGCTGGAACTCGAAAATGTAATGTATTCTAGAAGATCACGATGACTTACAGATGTTTTATGGGAAAGATTTTTGCAAGCGAATTCTTTGGTTTCCATGGTATCAAAATGGTTTCCAGCATCAGAGATCATCTCATTTTTCCTTCACTAACATCGTGCTGATTCTTTTCTACTATACAGTATATATATATACAAACTAGTAGTCATTCATTTTCTCAGTTTAATGGAATTGCAAAAATAAATTAAATCCCTACATTTCGTTACATTCTTTCACAATATTTTTTCATATGTAATACCGATTAGCTGATAAATTTATAGAATAATTTTTTCATCTATATGTATATATATCTTACTATGTCGATTCTTTTTTTTCTTATATCTAGCGCTAAAATATCGATCTGTATCTATTATAATTCCTCACCAATGTTATTAAAATAATTTATTAATTCTTATATTTTCAACATTGTCGTATATTGTTTTTCTTTATAATACCATTAAAACAATAGTATTATTTTTGATGTAAAACAAAATAAGTTCTATATTATAAACTAATCAACGTTCTATTTAGTTTTAAACCTTAAAGAAACCATAACAACTTTAATAATATCGGATATAATCCAAAGAAAAACAAAAAACTTGATATTTTCTCATAAATGTTAATTACCATACATAACCAAACATTTTCTTTATCATATTTGCCTTTTATTGTTCCACTTCGTTTATCTCAAACTTTAAAGCATATTTAATTACATAAAAAGTTAACAATAAATTCTCTGCTAGTTTATACAGAATATGTAAGTTCCACATTTCAACCCCAAAGCAGCTGCGCTAACAAGCTTTTTCAGTTTACGAATAAGGTAACAAAATTTAGATATTTTAGTGTTCGCTTGCGATTCACTGATCAATATTAAATGTCTGAAATTACACTGATATTTCTATTGAACAAAATAAATCTTTTCTTACACATTTCATCTTCTTATATACGCCATTTGCATTTCTCAATAGACATCAATTCTTAATAGTCATATACAAATCAACTTTCCTTTCTTTTTCTTTCATTCAATACATGAACTGTTTATTTTTCAATACAATATTCATTTATTTTACATAAAAAATGAACAAATATAATCAGTTCTTCTTACAGAAGGAAAATATTCTTGAAAAGATTTCAAAGATCTCCACTCACTCCACGGTAATAAACTGTTTACCTTGATACAATTCCTTCGAGTATCTTTTCTTGTAAAATGTTTTGTTACTCTTAACAAAGTTTTATCAACAATATCAAGACGAATATTCTTTCGAAAACATGTTTTTGTATCACATAGAAATTCTTCAACATAATCATCATGAACCTGTTCAATGTTAAGTTCAATAAGATGAGAATATTCAACAATTGATAAATGACAATTATCATTCATAGATTTATAAGATTGTTTGTGTTGTTGTGGTTCGCGATTAATTAAAACTAATTTTTCTATAAATAGAAATGATTGAGCTATTTGAAGAAAAAATTCATGTTCAAAAGGATATTCATCATATAATGATACAAAACGAACATATGAATAATATCCACCTGGAAATTGATTTGATAAATATTGATAATATGACATTTGAGATGGATATGTATATACATGACATTGACATTCTTTTCTCTTTCGAAAATGATCCATATAACATATCATTTGTGTATATTGAAAATCTTTGAATGTATTTTGAATATCTTCTTTTGATAGTAAAATTATTTGATTATTAATTCTCATAATCGAACAAATATTAAATGTGAATTTATTTAATTGTGACATATGATTAATAATTTTATTTTTCAAATTATGTCCATCAATGAATGTTTCTTTAACTAAAATCGAAAGAGATAAATTGAGTGTTTCTAAATTTGACATTCGATAAAGAAATGGGAGAATCAATTTATCATAACAGTCTATTTCCCAAACACAAGACAAGGAAAAACACTTTAGACTTGGTATATCTCCCTAGAAACCAAAAAATAAAAGCAGTTTCAATTTCTTTTCTTCTAACAAAAAACTAACTTGATTTTCAATTTTTTCTGATGTCCTAATGTCGGCTGACTCCACAATGAGTGTGTGAAGTTGATTGAAACGACCATCGAGAAGATATAAACATGTATCAAAACAATCAATCTTAATATTCAATACCAAAAGAGTTGAAGAACAAAAATTGATTGGTGGATAAATAAGTGGCAATGTAACGATATTTTGATATGATGATTCAGAAAATATTAAATGAGTTAACTTCTTAAACACACTAAAAATATGATTGCTTATGTATCTCATTGTTGAATAATGCTTCTGATTCCGATCAACATTAATTGTAATTAGAAGTTTAGTAATTTGATTTTTAAAAAGACCAGATGAAAGATTTACATCTAAATATAGAAATAATAATATTAACAAACAATAGTCATGTTAATTTTAATCAATTGCTCATTTATTTACTACTATAACAATTGCATTTTGAGATCTTCTTACCAGTGAAAAGACTTTTAATTGTTTCTTCTTCGATATTGAATAGACCCAGTCGATATAAATTAGGATAATCAGCAGCACATAGAATTTGTTTCAGAGATGATGATTCAACATCAAGCCATTGGATTTTCTCACGAACTGCTGGTAAAATTTGTAAACAAAATCGATCAAATATAATATCAGGAGAAAATATGTTGAGAAATTTCTTTGAAGACCTTTTCAAGAAATTCAAACGATTTGTAAATATTGAATCTTGTAGAATTAAATCCAATCGCTCATTGATACCGAATAAAGTATAAAAAACTTCAATATTATTCATTTGTTTGAAAATGAATATAAGAAGTTCATCAGGTAAATCCTTTAATTGAACACATGACCGATTCATTTTTATGTTTAATAATACTGTTCATTCTATCTCTCAAGAGTTGATATTAATATATGTATGTTCACATACTTCTCATGGATGTATTATTTTAAGAATAAATATTTTGATGTATTGAAAATGTTTTATGAAAAGGAACTTCTAGTATTTCATCAGTAAAATTCTATTTGAATGATTTAGATTTCTTTCGGATTTTGGAAATTGTATATCGATCAAAGGCGACTATAAGTTTCAGGGTAATATTTGACTTCAGAACAGAACATATGTAGGTTTGTAGAGTGAGAGTTCTTCTATCCGATGATGTATAGATTTTCAAACTCTGTTGGGAACCGTGAGAGGATGAGTGTTGGATTGATTCTAAAGGATTTCGATTTTGGGATGAGTTAAACTGGAGTCAAAATCGTGTAGAATCAAGCCAAAACTCATCCTCTTACGGTACGCAATAGAATTGGATGATATATACACCATTGGATAGAAGAACTTTTACTCTATAAACCCAGGTATGTCCCGTTCTGGGATCAAATCTTTATAATCGCCTTTGACACGAGATTTTATTAATAAACGCTTGATTGCATATAATTGATTAACTTTTTTATAATGAACTTTATAAATCCTCAACTAAAGATTTAAAGTAAAAGATTTGAACAAGATTTTCCTACTTCTGGAAATAAACTATGATTAAGGCATTTGAGATGATCAAAACATTGATTTCAATAAATAGAACCATCTGATTTCGTATCCATAAACTTTCCACAACTGAAATCAACATCATATAAAACAACTTGAGAATAGATAAAAACAATCATAACAACATCAAATTTGTTTGAACCATCTCAATTAGGATTTGCTCATCTTCAAGTAATGAATGTAAAATATCGATAAACATGATATGAAACAAGTTTTAGTGATTGATTCCTTTTGATTATTCGTTTACTTGTTCTGAAAAGGAACAGATTATTCAAATGAAATTCTTTGTCTTTTCTTTACCTTTTTACTTGAAATTACATGAAATATAGTAGTTGATGTATGTTCTGATGAAATAGTGAATTTAGTTTCTGTTGTCATTTTTGTTTAATAAGAAAATATGAGCAAAACAGAATCTAAAGCAATGAAAATAAATTCTCTTAGATAGAATAGATATGTGATTAATCGTTAATGAGATTTTATTTCATAAAAGAAAAATGACTTATTTCTTTCAAATACATTGTGCAATAGATCAATCTTACGTTTATCGAGAACATTATACACTCTTTGTATTGTATGATATCATTCAAAATGACAAAAGCAGAAGAATACATCATTATTAGTTTTTGTTTTTTACATTTATTTAAATTTACTAGTTGAGCATTTTAATAACATATGTAATAAGAAGAAGAAAAAAAGGAAGAAACTATCACAATAAGTGAAATAAAAGCAGAAAAAAAATCAGAGAGAGAATTAATTACGTGGTAGATATGTTTTTAATTCTTCAGCAAGATTACGTATTAATTGTTCATCTGTTAGCTGTTGTTGTTGTTGTTGTTGAGGTGGTATTCTAACATCATTTGACTGCATTGGGTGATGAGATGGATACATATGAGAAGGATGATGATGTATTGGTCCTAGACTAAAACTGTTGTTCATCATGGTTGGAAAACTTGTATGTCTTTGTTGTTGATCAGGTGGTGGTGGTGATTGAGATAAAGAATAAAAATGTTGTTGCATTGGATCAGATAATGATGATAAATGTAATAAATCTTTCGACGAGGATGATGGACTATTTGAGTGTGGTATAATCATTTCATTGAGATCAATGGTATGATGTTGAGGCATCATTTTGAACTTCTGTAGATGTGATGGTGGTAAATTCTTCTGATGATGTGAATTAAAATTTGTTTGCATAAAATCTGATGGATCTGGCATATGATGTGGATTCATATTCTGAAAAAAAAAAGAAAAATGACTAAATTATTTTTTTTTTCTCTTATAAAAGAAAAAGAAATATACTTGAAATTGTATGTGTTGTGCTGTCTTATTCATATGATCCATGGATTTCGACATATATTCTAAATTTGAATTGTTCATTGATTGTTTTGATCGGTAATTCTTTGATGAATTATATGGAGAAGTAGATGATTTCAAATTGTTTACCATTTGCATCATACTAATCAATGGTGATTCCATATTTGATATACGAGTATTTGGTTCACCATTAATATCTAATGGTGTATTTTTGAATGAATTATTATTTAATATTTTCGATATTGATGGTAAATTATTATTTGTTAAACGTGGTGGTGATGCTAAAATACTTCGTCGCTTTACTCCTTGTGAATGACGTGCAGGTGTTGTTGAAACGAATGATTGTTGTTGTTGACCAGATGGGCGTGGGTGTGGGTGCGGTTAAAGAGAAATGACAGCCACCCACACCCATACCCACACAGATACTCCACAGCCACAGCCACATCCTCCCCACTTCACTACGAGAGAATTTTCTTCGTGTGTCGATCAAATGCTCTTACATGACGTTACCATTTTCTTTAACATTCGACAGTAGAAGTTTTCCAAGGAAGAATCAAGACTCTCATTTGATTTTGTTTTCTTTCTTAAGCAAACAGTTCGATATCTTGCTTCTCAAGTAATCGATAAGTATAAACTGTTTCATCCCATTTGGCCATATCATATATATTCAAATACAAACTTCTACCAGCTAATTTATCAAAATATAGGTGATACCCAATCTTGATTTTTTAATGCATTATTGACAAGTAGATATCTAGAAGCGTGATTTGAAATTATCTCAATTTCATTTATTATTCGTGCAGTTTTCATCGCGAGAAGATTAAAAACATTTTCTTGAAGAAAATCTTCGTAAAACTAATTTGTTACACGATCAATCAAAAGTCCCAATATGATATCACCAAAGTATCTTGAATCATTTGATAAATATCGTCTTTAGTATGATCTGAATGAAGATTCAAAGGAATGTAGTATTCAGTCATTCCAGATGTATCAGTTAATAGATGTGGAATAGCAATCTTATTCCTTTCTATAGACTCATTGTTTAAATATTTCTCTATTTTGTCATCTAAATCAATTAATCATTTTTCAACAAGCATCATTACATCCATTACAGTAAATTGTTTGCCAACTGAACCAGATTGAAAAACTTTTTCAAGTTTTACAGGTATACTTGATGCTCAACATTTGGGTTTGAGTGTGAGTTGTTTCATACTCACATCCACACCCTCGAATGAATATAGGAGACAATACTAAAGTTTATTTATTCAATATAAAATTATGTTACCAAAGCTCAATATACACATAATGAAATAATCGATGTTTTGTCAAACTTAGTTCTGCAATCTGTCATCTCAGAATATCACTTTTGATAATGCTTATGTTCTAGCAGTATCTTCATTGGTTAGTAACGTTGCTAATTTCTTTGTGCAAAACATATTATGTGCGTCAAGCTCGTTTCTAGACCTCAGCCACTGATAAATCTTTTCGTGTTCGTTTGCACAGATGCGTTTGATATCGTTGATATTTTTTATATCTGATGAAATCTCCTTGGCCCAATGAAAACGTCTAGCATAGCGTTGACATACAGCGCAGAAGAACGCAAGAATTGGTTGAAAAGATAGTCTGGGCTCTCTAGTACGAAAGGGACAGTATTGAACAAGCCCGATATCCACGAAAATCTGACCATCCATAGAGCTGTAGATAGATGATAAAGGAAAACGATCTCCTTTGACAAATCTAATTTCAATCATGCCATTCATTTGATTAAATCTATTTCTATTGAAGAAACTATATAATTCTTGCAATGCTGTAGTTGTCTGTTCGAAAGGTAATGACCACTCTGATGTACGTTGACTATAGAAACAATCCACAGATAAAAGATCTTTCTGATTACCAATTTGTCGTTATGGAACATCTCGCTTCAATGAATGCAAGAGACGAACAACATAAGATGACAGCGACAGTAGCCAAGTACACAGATAAAGAAGTAATTGATGTAAGTAGTACCCGATCAAACAACAATGAAACCACGAATGTTCACGAGATGCAGATCGAGACATCGATGTACCAGAAATTCGAGAGATACAAGCTCGGTCGTAGCCGTCTAAAGACGTCCATCATATACGAACGCGTGGCACTGAATGCGCAATTTCAGTAAAGTTCGCAATAATCTTAGCCATCGACATTGATTCTATTGTTTCTTCAAGTTGTTCCAGTTCAACACATTGTATTATAACTGATGTAATTAAACGAAAACAGCCCATGCCACATAGAATATTGTAGAAAAGCTCTTTGTTTTCTTCTCTAGTGATGGTTTTCGACGACCCATTCAGTAGAATAACGGAAAATTCTTTGACATAGCTAGATAAACATTAAAGATCAATATCAGTGCCTTTTGTACATGTTGAGAGAGCTCCAGCTAAAGAAACAGCAGGCTGAGCTCCTTGTGTAGCAAGAGCAAGGTTAAACTCAGGAGAAGCCAATTGCTTATTTAAATCTTCAATCAAAATACCACCTTGAACATGAACCATCTTGTTTCGAAGATCTACCTATGAAGAAAGCAGAAAGTGATCTTTTTCTATCAAAGAAAAAACGAAATTTTCCTTTGATCATTTCAAAATTCCTTCTTTGCTCGACTTCAAAGCTCTAACTGTAGATGTGTATGAATGATGGACCGTACAGTTTCTGAAATCAATATTGATACAACACACATTCAAAATTTTATTGAATTTTCAAGTTGATACGAAGATGGCGTGCCTTTCTTCTTGTTCGCCACTTGGACACCACAGATCGTTTTCTGCATATAAGCCACCAACAATATGTACTTGTCGATGGGTTCGATAACACCATTCAGCCAAAGACTTTATTTCATCATCGTTTTTTGGTAGGAATAGATAAGATGGACGCCAAGAAAATATATGGGACCAAGTAGAAAGACAAGGTCTGGTGCGATGTTCAATGCTGAGAACAGTATCACAAAGTTCTGCCATTGTCGATTGTGAATTTGTGAAAAAGAATCGTTACTTTTGCATTTCTAAGTTAAGCAAAGGCTGATCAATTTTACAGTGAGTTATATATACTGAGTTGGCCAAAAAGTTCTGCAACACTTGCGAAAAAGTTGATTTTTGTGATATAGTGGCTAAGCGGTCACGTGTCTGTCCATGTGACCATCTTTATCTATCCATTGTTCAGTATTTGCATGTACCTTCTAGAACTTTCTATGCACTTTTCTCAGACATATGACGTGTTCTTGTGTAATGTTCTTAAGCAATGTTCATACTATATATACCGCTGTTTCCTATCTATCATTATCATTTCCCCAGTCAGTCACTCAGTGTTCACTTATCCTCAAAGTTTCAGATGACCTTGGACAAAATCGAGCTTCGAGTCTTGATACGCTATTGTTGGAAGCGACAACTTTCGACAAGAGATGCTGCGAAAGAGATTTGTGATGCTAAAGGCGAAGGAACTGTCCACTACACAACTGTTTCCCGATGGTACAAACGATTCGATTCCGGTGACCTTAGTGTCGAAGATCAACCATGTTCCGGCCGGCCATCAACGTTGGACAACGAAGATCTGCGGGCAGCCTTGGAAGATGAGTCTTCATCGAACAGCCGTGAATTGGCGTCGGTTCTTGGAGTCTCGTCCCATCAGACTGTGCTCAATCACCTGCATCAAATGGATTTTGTGCACAAGAAGCCTCGCCAGGATCCACACGAGTTGACCGAAGCGCAAGCCAAGCGTCGTGTTGAAGTCTGCCGTCAATTGTTGGAAAATCCATTGGATGATCGGTTTTGGAAGCGTATTGTGACTTCGGACGAAAAATGGGTCTACTTGGTCAATCACAACCGGCAGAAGCGGTGGGTTCCGCTAGGTCAAGATCCGCCATCAGTTCAGCATCAAGATTCTTTCGCAAAGAAGGTGATGATTTGCATCTGGTGGAACTTTGAGGGCGTGCTTCACTTTGAACTGGTTCCGAATGGCCGTGTTGTGAACGCCGAACTCTACTGCCAACAACTGGACCGTGTCTATGACAAGCCGAAGGAGAAGTACCCGACCTTCGTTCGTCGCAAATGCGCTTTGTTCCAGCAAGACAACGCTAAACCCCACACCGCCAACAAAACAAAGGAGAAATTTGACGAACTGGAGGAAGTGGAGGTCTTGCCGCATCCACCCTACAGTCCTGACGCTGCGCCATCCGATTACGGCCTCTTTCGATCAATGAGGCACTTTTTGCGTGGTCGCCGATTCGAGTCATTTGATCAAGTTGAGGAAGCGTGCCAGGAGTTCTTCGATTCGAAGCCGGCAGAATGGTACTTCAATCAAATCCGGATGCTTGCAGATCGGTGGCAAAAAATTGTTGAAAATGATGGCCTTTATTTTGAAGAGTAGTTGTTATTGTTTTTAAATAAATTTGCGCATAAAAATCAACTTTTTTCGCAAGTGTTGCAGAACTTTTTGGCCAACACAATAGCATGCCTCTAGCAGTCACGTGCGCACGTGTTCACCTTTCATTCCCCTGCAGTAACATGCAACGTTTTAATATAGACTAATAGATTCAAATGTATTGTCACGAAGAAACTGTTTGGTAACGAAAGTTAACTAAAGAAAATTTAGTATTGACGATAGACACGACATACAATAAAACACTGATTTTTCTGTTTCTCTAAATATTCGTCTAATTGTGGATTCAGTTTAGTTCATCAGTGAGGATCATATGTAAAGACTTGCAGTCTGTCACTCAGTTTTTCGATTTTCTTTGATGGATGAGGTTAAGAATGATATTATTTTGATGATTCTCACTCTCATCTAACCCACTCCACGAACTGTTTTTGCAAATGTTTGAACATAACCTGCGCTTAAACACTATACAGTCGAATCAGCAGTAATTCTATCAACCAATTTCATCTTGCTTCTCCACTCCGTTCATTTCACACTGTGCAGAGGAATCCTAATCAGGAAATGAAGATTCATCCGATCCATGTTAAACTGTAAATTTATGAAGAATAAAGTGTTGCCAAAATTTTCATCTCACACTCGGTTTTTTGAACATACTATCTGAATCTTGCTAAAGAGAAGAGGAATTCTAATCCCACGAAAATTCTTTTCACGCGAAAAGGACGGTAGTTGCAAATATTGACCACAGTGAGACACCGAATGGTTAGCTCACAATCGGCAGTTGAGTCCGATATAGATGATGTCTTATATGGATATATGATCATGAGGTATACAAAAGGGCTACAGCCAGAGTAAGCACCTCGTATCGATCTGATTTTAGTATTAAAAAATTTCTAAGACTTAATGTGACTATTTTATAAGAAAAATTGGAATTTTTCAAGGGAGTAGACTTCTGATCTTAACGACCCTCCTCTGTTAAAACATCATATGAATGTTGACGATTGACAAAATCATTATTTAACTCTGAATTATCTTGATAAACTTTACAAATAAAATTAATTAATTTTTTAAATGAAAAACGAGAAGTTTCTCTTTGAAAATGTATACCAAATCTCTAATATATGTGTTCGATTATATTTAATTTTGTACTTGATTCTTCATAGAAGAATTTTAATATTTCTTCACAATGTTCCAATATTTCTTCCATAGATAGATTTTTATTTGAACAATTTTTTTTCATACGTTTATCGATAGATTTAAACTGAATAAAATTTAATTAAATTCAATAAAGAATTTTTCTTTTAATAGAATGCTTTGTTTTTACACTCATCGTTACGACCAATAACACAAAGCTGTTGCCGATCTGAATGATTGCCATTATCTCTTTTTCTTTCGTCCGTTTGTCTAGTCCAATATGAATATTATTCTGCTATGGGTATATAAAGAGAAAGAATTAACACATACGAACAATTACATTTTAATACAAACGTTTGCACATATAGTTCGTCTGAGAATCGTATTGTACTGCATGCGTTGAGATGGCACATTCATCTAAAGCGAAAAACAATCCAAATATTGAGGTAAGAATTATTGTTAGCTATTGTCTCAATATAACTTTCTTTTTTTAAGGTTTTACCTGCATTAATTATAGATCGATCAACAGCTGCAGATGACAACGTTAAATATATTTATATTAATTATGAAAAAAAAAATTGGAATGGTAAGTTTTTATTATTTGGTTTTTATACTTAGTTGTTTATTTTTCGTTTCAGATGTCGTTAAAGATATTAACATCTATCAACAAATTACAAAGTCCAAGAAACTTGAAGTATTAAAAATGTAAGTTATATTTCACTGTTTTTATATAAACAGTATTTCTCTTTTAGTAAAAGTGAACTTCAAGAATTTTGTCAAAAATCTCGGAAAGCATTGATGGAATTAAACGAAAATAATGGTATGTATTGAAATCTTTTCGATTATGATATTTAATTCTTTATTTATAGATATAGATGATTATGATGATTATAAGCAATTTTTTTTAAATTTAAGTCCAAAGAATATTGATGATTTTATTAATGGTAAATTTTGTACAAAAATTATTTCTCTATATTGTTTTGTATTTAGGTGAACTCACAAGTAAATCAAACAAAAAACGAAAATCACCAGTTTAATACAAATGAAGTCATGTTGATTGATGGTTATCAATGTCAATATGGTGTTATTATTGAGATGTTCTTCATGCTTGTGTAGTTAAATTACATCAATCGTTTAATTAGATACAAACATTTATTATTGTCGACTTCATTGATGCATGATTTTTTTTTCTCTTCATTTCATTGATGTATATATTTTTTTTCTTGATTTCATTGATACATAATTTTTTCATGATTTCATTGATGTATTTTTTTTTTGTTACTTTCATTGATGTAGTATTTTTTTTTATGTTACTTTCATTCATGTATAACTTTCTTTTGTGCTTTGCTCTTTCAATGATAGTATGATTTATTTATTCAAAAAAAAATCTTTATACTGAATAAAACACAATCAAGACATTTATTGTATGTCTGATATCTAAAATAAAATAATTATCAATGACTGTAAAACCTAATGAATAAATTATGATACTGTATATTTTCTAAATAGATGAAGAGAATGTGATTCAATGGATGAAATATAATTGAAAAAAATTCTTTCCATAATTATGGAAAATGTATTTTTCTTTTTGTGTATTTGCCATGGCTGCTAGCGTGTCGTTGTTCTTACGGAGAATCTTGTCTGCTTTGTTGTGATGTTTGACATGACACTTTTTGTGCAATAAAAAAAAAAGATTTCTATCATGATGTTCGAACCAACTTCTGAAGATCAACAAGTAATCAAATAAATCTCTTCTATTTCTTTTATTATCTCTTCATATGTCATAGAATTATATCGATATTGAAGCGGTTAAAGTTCTATTTGACGCAGCACAATGTGAAGGTGATTCTCTCTAAACATATTTACCAAATTGGTTAAATAGACTTAAAGATGATGAATTACAATCTCCGCCAATGTCAAGTCATGTATTTCAAAAATATAGTCATCAATCTCATCTCGAAACAAGCATGGCTAATAGTGTACGAAAAATGGCTTTAAAGAAAATTGTCAAGGAAAAAGTAAT